TTTATAGCATTGGTCAATGGCCTAGATATAAGGAAAAACGCTCCGTTGACGAGCAGACCGCACAACCCGACAGTGCTCACGCTTATGTTCACGACACGCATTCGCTGGCGAAATCTTGCTAACGGTCAGCCACCTTTTGCGGATTGTTTCATATGTGCCGCATCATCGGTTTTGCGAAGGTATTAGCGGCCATGCTGTTTTTTGACCATAACCAGAAAAGTCCGTAATATCACGGTGATCGTATGACGTTTCTAGGACATCATCATTGCGGAGGTGGCTTTGAAATAGCCCCTCAGTAAATCTTTTGCCACCTTTACGGGCGTATGACTCAGGAACCAGAGGGCTTTGGATCTCAAAAGGGGCATGGCCGTGAACTGCATCAAAAGGTCCTCAAGATGACCACTTCAGTTCAAAACCCCGTATAAAGGTGGAACATTCCCTTCAATTGAAGCAAAATATTTTGGTCCGCATGATTCAGTCACTTACTTTGAACGACCATGAAAGGACCAGAAATCCAAGCTTGCTATATTGCATCAAACTCGCTTTTTCCAACTTTACGTCGGGCGGCACAATGGCCAGGTTTTACCATCCTCAATGTGTATCCACGTGAGCAACACATGAGTGTCGTGTACGCGAAAATCCCACAGGCACCAGGCCATCTCTCGAGAGCGATCAGCCATGCCACGTTTGGCATAGCTTCGGGGACATGTGTTCGCGTGGCACAAGAAGAGGGCACTACCATGTTTATTAAAGGAGGGTGATTGGAACACGTGCTCCGTTGGGTGCCAAACTTGAGTGATTGTTGCATGATTGTATTTTAATAAATATGCATTTCGTACGTTGTGGACTGACTGATAACACTTCTAATTAAAGGGTTTGTCCGAAACCAATTTGATAAATTTTAGAAGACGTGGTAGCACAACTTGGGACACAACACCATTTCCCCCAAAGTAATGTTGCGTTTTTAGCTTCATAATTATAGGCAAGCATTCCACAACAGAATACGAGCCGAATGCCCGGACGATAGCCCTGGTCCTGACCCTGGTCCTGGTCCTGGTCCTGGTCCTAGTTCTGGTCCTGGTCGTGGTCCTGGTCCTGGTCCTGGTCCTGGTCGTGGTCCGATGGTCCTGCCACGACTACAACCACCATAACTGATAACGACTGATGTTATAGTATTCGTTGGAATATCACCACTCCATTGGCTTGTGCAGTACCGACTTTGCTCTGTTTCGAATCAATTATAATTTGCGTCTTGGCCTTGACCGGATTGCATTGGCGAGTAGGATCAGACGTTTTCAAACGATTCACTGCATCTAAATATCGCAATCATAGTGCTGCCACTCACGTTAAATGGAGTGATCAATGTGTTGAACGAATAAAATTGAATATACTATAAAAAACAGGATCGGCATTGACTGGACATTTAGCTACTTTTGTATTACTGAGGTTGACATACTTCTACACTCCCATCTCGGTGCAGTTTTAGTAACCTCAAGGTTACCACTTTTTCGCAAATCAGGCCAAATACCGAGATCTAGCTGCAAGCTGGAAGAGACGGAACCACATTACAGGAGTTATGCTGGCGTGAAGGACTTGGTAGTCGTATTGAGCCTTGCGGTGACCTGCGCTGGCCTAAATTGGTAGGTTACGCGTATTTCTCCTTTTGGAACAAGCATATAATGCCAATGGGCCTTCCAGTACTGGGAACACAATATTGCCACCGTGTCCTTCCTGCGAGACTTCGTACCGAGCTTTTGCAGTCGGGTGTAAACGCGATGCCAACTGTCAGGTCTCACTGAGACGTCCGTCAGTGACCAGCATATGAGCCATTGGTGGAGACACGTCTGTTTTACAATCGGCATCGGACATCAGATGCACTCTCGCGCATACCATTCACGAAAGATGACCTGGCGTACGCCTTCTTCAGTCGGAAGCCTTTTCGATATGTCCGAGCATATGTTCTGATTTACTTCGAAGTTGATGTGCGCAAAAAGGTGAATGGACTGATAAAAATACTCATTTTTTCCAATTTTGAGATATTGCGGGACAACAGGGAACTGCATAAACGTTTTATGGAGATGTCGTAGTGATGATAATAACTGTTCTCACATGAAGCACTTCAAGTGTGCTGATCCCATCCGTTTTATCGAGTGAGATGGCCAATTCGTCCCACTATTGTCTTAACCCGTATGATTTCCAAATGTGTTCTCATCCTCACCAGCAAATGTTGATGTGGCCTTCCTCTCTCGGCACGGAATTGCCAAATACCATGAACAGGAGCAGTGTGGGAAGCGTTCCATTCGCTGGACGCCTCTAGCGGTTCCTCATGCTTCTGGAGGTTGGCGAAGGCTCAAAGACATGCGAACTGAAGCTAACGTAAGCACCGAATGCATCTCCATAATGCTTTTGAAAGGTCTCTCCTGACCATTAATATGTTTGATATACCTCGACCTCCATATCCTCCGAAACTGCTTTCGCAAAAGCTGTCCGCCTGGCCGTCTGCATACCACCGCGCTTGACTGCACGCTGCACAGCACCCGATCTCGTGTCTACCCGACAGCACCGCCGCCGCCGCCACCGCCGCTGTCACCCTGACCTTGACCTTGACGGGGGCGCGCCATCGACCGGGCCATCGATCGGTCAGCGGACGCCGCCGTGTTGTGATTCCGGTCCGCCGCCGCCGGCGGCGCCGGCCTGGCTGGCGCTGCCGCAAGCGCCCCGCTGGCGCCGGCGGGGTGTGCCGGATAGGGAGCCGAGAGCTCGTGGGAGGAATTGGAAACGCGCCTGATGGTGCAGTGCTGTGGACGGTTTCGCAGCAGAGTTGAAGTTCATTGCTTCTTGCGATTTACGCCATATCCAACCAGATTCATATGCATTTGTGCTGGGCCGTTTTGCGTCCACGCTGGGCCTTACTGTCCTGATTGTGTCGTCACACAGAAATGTACAAAATGCAGGCAAAACGTCTTCCCTTGCTGCAGCAGAATTATTATTGAAGGAGAAAAGAAATTCATGGATATTACAGTTTGCTCATTTCCATCCACCGCTAAAGGCCCAACCTCCCCCAAATATGTTTTATCCAAATGCCAAGCCACCGCCCCGTTCCCTTCCTTCAGTACACCACAGTTTGCATGCTACTGTCACGAGAGGTCACGACTGGACAATGTGATGAATAACGGATGTATGACTCAGCTACGGTGTGCAATTGTGAAGTCTTGGAGGAGGGGGCAAACATACTAGGCGAGCAGCAACGGCGTTAGTGTCGTGATTTCCTGCTTAGCATGTCGGCATTGCAGCCACAGCGTTGTAGGCCTCGCTTCCGCAGTGGTGTGTTAAGTTGCTACGTGTAAAACAAATACGCACCGACTATTGCATAGCATGGATATTTCCATTGATCAGCTTCTGCACGTTCTGAAATGCTGTGCCTGACGACCTAATCCTAGTGTATGTGAATTGACCCCAGGTTATGTGACGTGTCCGGTTGTACGTCAGGTTTCCTTCACTCCGAGCTGCCTCTCCAGCCCTTCGAATTAGAGCCAAATCCTGTAGCACTGGTGGCAATGCTGGCCGCCCACCACCGTATACAGAAGTAGGCAGGCATCACAGGGCATCCATTTATTTATCAAAGGGACCAATTGGATATATGCATTCACGTCAGCGTGGTGATAAAGGGAAAGGTTCATGTGTGTTTCGATTCACTCATTTCCACCCACCGCTAAAGGTCTGACCTTCCCCAAATGTGCCCCTCCAAATGCCAGGGGGCATCATGCCAGCCCTCGTCATGGCAAATCGAATCGTAAGGCGTAATTTTTTTTGTATTTAATCGTGATCTCAATATGAAAGTCATCGAGTTGTTATAACTTGTTTGAAGGAGATTTTTCGATTAGCAGGAAAACTGGGCAAATTATCCTGAAGCATAAGCAATTTGTACTAAACCCCTGCCCCGTTCACATCCCAAATCGGCGTCGTCTGGGCATTGCTCGTGACATAGAAATCCGTTCCAAAAGCTTTTCAATTCCTTAATGAACTCTACAAACCCGGGTTGTAGCAGGTGATAAAGGACCCAAAACTGAACATGCCTGGTTCTCTTTATTCAGCTGCCGCTTATCAGCGAATACGAAAAGCAATTGCTTCCCGTCGCCTGGGCGCTACCCAGCCCGCCCTAGCCGAGCACCAGCTTTTCGTGCCTCCTCGTCACGGAAGGCTCGCGCACCGAGGCGCGTGGCAGGAACGTAACGCGAGTGGGGTCTGCAAAGAAGAGAAGCTCATAAAAAATGTGACTTGTTCTAAAAACATAGCAATATTGTTGGCTGGCCTTTTGCCAAGGTTGTTATTTTTACCAGAGTGAAAGCGTTGGACGTTATTCCGAACCAATTTCCATGGAACCGCCCAAACTCGTCATGTTAGACGCTGGTTGCCTAATTTCAACCATATTTGAGGTTTTTTTACCATGTGTGCCTGACTTAAGTGCTTTTTGTAACTTAGGGCAGGGGAAAAATTTGTGTTTGCAAATTTTCAGACATTGAAATTAGAAACTACGGACAGTATTTGGACATGAATATTGGAAGATTTGAATGGAAAATAAACGATAGACAACTGCTCCGTTTGCTACCATTATGCCTATTCTTTAAATACAGGTGATGTAATAGCCTGTTTGGAAATGTGGTCAGAGTATTTAACCTACAAATAATAGTCAGAGTCCAGGGAACATCCAAAGAATATTCATGCTGAAACTGCTGCGAATACGTTACTGATGCCATATGTCATGACTGTCGAGAAAGGTATTTGTTGCTTGGATGCTGCCTATCTTCAGGCATCGCGATGCAGCGATCTGATGGGCCCAAAACTGAACTGCACATTTATCCAAAATCGTCCTGCCACCGAGTTTAAATATGTCGGTTAATGGTCGAAAACGTACTAGATGATAAAGTGTTAAGTCAGAGGTTTTGAAAACCAGTCGAAACTCACGAGTTCGAACGCCGCAGTGCTCGGCAGACCCAGCGTCACAGCCGGCAGCGCTGCTGAAGAGCGTCGGGGGCACTCCGGAGCGTCAGCACCACCGGGCCGTCGGGGGAACTCCGGAGCGTCAGCACCAGCGGGCTGGGAGTGGGAGTCACACTCCGGAGCGTCAGCACCGGCGGGCTGGGAGCGGGAGCCACTCTCCGGAGCGTCAGCACCACTGGGCTGGGAGTGGGAGTCACACTCCGGAGCGTCAGCACCAGCGGGCTAGGAGTGGGAGTCACACTCCGGAGCGTCAGCACCAGCGGGCTGGGAGTGGGAGCCACTCTCCGGAGCGTCAGCACCACCGGGCTGGGAGTGGGAGTCACACTCCGGAGCGTCAGCACCAGCGGGCTGGGAGTGGGAGCCACTCTCCGGAGCGTCAGCACCACCGGGGCGTCGGGGGCACTCCGGAGCGTCAGCACCACCGGGCTGGGAGTGGGAGTCACTCTCCGGAGCGTCAGCACCGGCGGGCTGGGAGCGGGAGCCACTCTCCGGAGCGTCAGCACCACTGCGGGCTGGGAGTGGGAGCCACTCTCCGGAGCGTCAGCACCGGCGGGCTGGGAGCGGGAGCCAGCTCTCCGGAGCGTCAGCACCACCGGGCTGGGAGTGGGAGCCACTCTCCGGAGCGTCAGCACCAGCGGGCCGGGAGCGGGAGCCACTCTGAGTTCACAGGGCTATGAACGCTGTGAACACAGCTGGTGGTATCTCAGCTGACGGCCCGCTGCCACATCACCACGCACAGGTCACGCTCAGGTCAGGTCACGTTCAGGTCAGAGCACGCCTAGTTCAGGTCACGCTTAGATCAGGTCACGCTCCGGCCAGATCGTGCTCAGGCCACGCTCGGGTTACGCCACGCTCAGGTCACAGGCGTCCGCCGTGAGCCCCGATCGTGCCTGCCAGGCTGCCGTAAGTTCTGTTGTCAGTCCATACCCACAGACAATGATACACAGTAAAAGCAGTAATGGACGTATGCAATCAGTGCTCAGCCTGAGTTTGGCCTGTGGTTCTCATGCATGTCGGTTGAAAAAGGCAATCATTTTGAACCAATGAGAACGTCTGTGACCTGTTCCTATTCTTCCAATATCAACGCTGGAATGACCGGAACTGTAAACTACCAAACCGCACGACGATCTTCCTCATTTAGGGCTGGTACAGCCCAGAAGCTCACTACATTACACAGCCAAACACATGTGTAGCGATTGATGTAACATTCTGGTCTCCACATGCTAAAATGTGAGACCGACGACTCGTGCGGCGGGGAAGCAGCGCGGTGAAAACAGGCAGGATATCTATCAATCATCATGGCTTAGGGGACGCCGCGGCTTATAGGAAGTGTCCCAATTTTTGGGCATATTTTAAAGTATACTCTAGTAAAACCTTAGGACCAGTTAATCTGATAATAGCCCTGGTTAGCGTCACTGCAGCACCGTCAATACATCATAGAGACATCAATTTAACTATTTTGGAGCCCAAATTACGCTGCGAACGCTTTTTAACAGCACTATGCTTCTTCCCTGCAGTTGTAGCGACCACCGCCGGCATGACAACCGCCGCGGCATATCTACTGGTGTGAATAGAAGAACGCTTGTGCTTGGTCCAGCTGTTGGTCCGGCTATCGAGAAGTGCATTGGTTGAAGATTGATCCAGTGCGTGAAAATGAATCACGTGATTCTTCCATTCCCAAGGCCAACGTGTGCCTCGAAAAAAGCCACTGGGGTAAACGCTTTAGGGCAAAATCAAAACCGTGGCATGCCGTTTCGTTGTGTTCTCCGGATAAGAGCTCCATGGTCGCATATATTTTTGTCTAAACTTTTGTAGCATTTATTACACAACAATTTTGACACGTTAATGTGTTACAAACTACAGAGCATACACGTTGGGTTTAGGGATGTCTCGACTGCGTTGATCATTTTGCTCACGCACGTTGGAAAATGCAAGGCAAATTAATTTATTTCATGGCTGCGACCAATGAGTTCAGTGATATTTGTCCCGCAGGAGCGCCTACATTCAGTAGAGTTCTGAGCTATGCAGAAAGATTTCGAGACAATTGACATTACTTTAGTTGTCCAGTGCATTAGCGAGGAACATTATCCACATGGGTAAGACAGTAGTATTAGCCTTATTCCTCGGGGAAAAACAAGGAAAATGAAAATAAAGATGGGTTGGTATCTCCGCAACATTCCTTTATCGAAACAATAACAGGAATGAATTTAAAATTGCCTGCCGATGATTCTTCTCCATTTTTCAGGGTAAAAGGTTTTTTTTAAAGCAAGCCACAGTTTTTTTACAGAACACCAACATCCAGGGGGTTAAACAAAGAGTGATTGCCACTCATTACCACGATACAGTGCCTACCTAAGAATTAGACTGCGCGAACATACGTGTAAAGACAGACGAATTCAAGCAAATAGGCATCACGCTTTACGCTTCATTCAAACACGCAAGCGAGTTGAAGTAGCCAGGTATCACACATCGCGCAGCAATTATACATGCAAACGACCTCAATTGAACAAGCATGCCACATCATGCGTCAGGTATCCTTTACACATGTAAAGCGATTTCAAGTCAGCACACATCACACATAAAAGTACACATCACGTTCGCATAATTGGCCATGATTAGCCCTGCATGTAAAGATTTGGAAGCCAACTTTTTATAAAAATATCTATTTTTTATTTTCCTGTCTGGGTGGTCCTGTGCTCTGTGGATGAATTTAAGCTCTAAAAGGGGTATAGGGTCCATACTTCTCTCGATTCCAGCCTGGGCGTGATTTGTCAAAAAACGGTCACAGAAAGGGGTATTCCCCGTTTTGTTTTTTGCGTCTCGCAGGTGGTCATTATAACTCAAACGGATTCGGCGCATAAGCTCCCTGGCATAGACTATGTCCTTCCAATGTTTTTCACACAGTTTACACTTGATTTCGTAAACCGGTTTTTTGCGTGTAAGCCCCTTGAAACCCAGAACTGTATAAATGACATCTGTTGCCACCCGGTTATTTAGGTTTCGAATAATAAGTCTAAGTCCCAACCTACTTGCTTGAATTCGTTTGCATGTGCACGTATGTTCGCGCGTTCTAATCATTAGGTAGGCACTGTATCGTGGTAACGACTGACAATCGCTCTTTGTTTAATCCTGTGAATGTTGGTGTCTTAGAAAACCGTGGCTTGCGTTTAAAAAAAAACTGAAAAATCTAGTATAATCATTGGCAGGCAATTTTAATCTCATTTCTTCTATTGTTTCGATAAAGGCATGTTGCCGAAATATCAGCCCAACTATATCTCCATTCTCCTGGTTTGTCTCCGATGAATAAGGCTAATATGACTGTCCTACCAACTGGCATACCTGATAAATTAGTACGTGTCTGATGGTGAACGCGTCTGAACATGTGAAATTTGCACATAAAGTGTAGCATGCTCCCTTTAAGCTGAAGGAGCCAGACATTTTTGGAAGTTCGTGACAATGGGTTTGATCAGTACGGTGACAAGCCTGCCTTTCATTGGAGGTTCACAACCTTCGCGAGATATGCCGGGCCTCGTTGGGATTTTGTCCGGTTTGACGCGTGTTATGCATATATTTAGCAGCTTGCAATTCTTGCTAATGAGAAAGGTAAGCTGTAAACCTTTCTAATGAGAAAGGTAGGCTGTAAACCTTTCTAATGAGAAAGGTAGGTTGAAGTTAGTTCCAATTGTAATGGAGGAAAAAAACGTGAAAAATACACCTGTATGCAAATGTTTCAACACTTGCACCGCTCACATGTTAGAATTGCGCTCATCGTTGCTGATACTGCATAAGACTGCGATCAGTGGTCGCAAAAATATTTGTTTTTAGAACATTTCAGCCGGACTGCGCCAGGCTTCTCAACGTAATAGACGAAAAAGAAGGAAAAGGAAAAAGGCGAAATGAATTTGCATTTCCTATTGCACATCACATTGCGTGAAGTCACATTTGAACAGCTCGAAACTTTTTTTCTCATATTCTGACTATGATACGTCACTTTGCATCGGTTTCTTGTTGCTGTTTTCACCACTCTAAGGCAGTGTCCTAGGATTGCCGACTTTGGGTGTAAAGCAACACCCTATGAGGAGGAATTTTTCACTCATTTTCCTCATATTTTATGTGAATTTTTCACTCCCGCCTGACATTATCTAATCGCACATGCCAGACCCCTATTTCTCTTTCTGAGGCTTTGAGATGTCATCCAAAACCGAGCTCACTTGAAACCACCAAGCATAAACGAGGCTCCGCAGAACCTGGACACCAGTGGCTATGTCCTGCCTCACCTACATCTGAATGATGTCTACGTATGCACATAACAAGGGCGCAAAGGGACCTCCAAGCCCAAGAACCCCAGCGACCCCAGCCGCTTGCACGCATTAAGTTTGGTTTGTTTACAAAATGCGTGCCAATCTGCTGCTGTGCGCCAAATGCAAGGTTTTCACGCATCCCCTATTTTTTTGGTCTCACCACCACACCACGAAAGCAGAGCGTGATGCAAACACCAGCAAGGCCTGGTAGAGAATTTTACTCAACGTACTTCTTTTTTCCCGCGGAAGCTTGACCACTAAATTGCATCACTCCCAAAATGCATGAATGAAAAGTTCAATAAATGTCTTATAAATTAAGCTGACAGGATGAATATCACTATTTGAGCACTTATCTTCACAGATTTTAACTCAAATCAGCTGATTACAAAATTTTGCAAGAAAAGTACCAGTCTTTGCATTTATTTAGCTACTTTTGTTTCTCTTGGTATCATACCAATGTCATACCACTTCATTCTTTCTTCCTTTTCGATTGTCTTTAAAGGTACCATCTGCTGCTTAAGATTTTGATTAATTTCTCTGCAAGATGCTCCAACTGCAAACTTGTGCGTATTCTATACATAAATTGGATTAATTCGCCAGCCGCCCAAACATGTTTGATATGCACCAAAGCGTGAACAATTCACAGGGAATGAAGGAGACAATTTGAAACACGGAACTTATTTTTACCGCCATTTTTGCCCTATTTAACCTTCGGTTAACCGTTTCCTTGGTTTATGGCGGTGTTCAATGATGATAAATCCAAGCATTTCGAGAGTCTGACTCACCAGGCTACCTGGCAAGGCATTAGCATTAGAATAAATGCTGCCATACAGAGCCCTCGGACAGACCTGACGCAGCTAATACAGAAGCGTTTGATGGCGAAATTCTGCCCTCTGGAGATGTTTATCATGCACACCTCTTACTTGTTTCGCATTTTAATCTCGAAGGTTGGCGGGCATGATTGATATTTATATTTGGGGAGGGAGTCGGATGACTCTGTCTGCCAGCAGACCATGCAAAATGTACTGAATCGTGATGCCACAAGGCATGCAATGGGCTTATTTCGTTCCATATTCTTGGTTATTTGCCCCAAATTTCTTAAAAAGATCCCTTATGGCTGCTTTAACCACATGTTTTCTATCGTTGTTGTGGTTTGCTGACCGGCAAATGACTGTACTGCATATATGCGCTATATTTTTAACACAGAGATACTCTAAGCTGCATAGCAATTATAATATGAGTTAAATATTGGTATGTAACAAATAGTTAGACCACCCCATTTTAAATGTGAAGCCA